ACTTCCCCCCATCCCCTCCTTGGAGTCTCATTTTAAACATCTACAACTGCATATAATAATATAATAATAATTTATTATTTATACCCTGCTCATCTAGCTGAGTTTCCCCAGCCACTCTGGGCGGCTCCCAATCGAGTGTTACTCATCCGTACTCCAATTTTTACATCAAACCCTACTGTCCATAGTAATTTTACACCATAAGCGAATCAAAATCCTGCTCTTGTTTCCATCTGCTTACTGTGGTCCCCTAAGTAACTTATGAATTTTCCCCATCCTTTTATAAAGCTTTTGTCCTCTTGGTTCCTGAGTTTTCCAGTCAGCTTTGCCATCTCAACATAGTCCACCAGCTTGGTTTGCCATTCATCTTTGGTAGAGACTTTATCCTCTTTGCATCTCTGGGCAAGTAACATCCGGGTGGCAGTTGTTTCATACATAAAAATTCTTTTCTGCTCCTTTGGTATGTCGGTACCTGTAATTTCTAATAAAAAATGCTTCTGGTTTCTTAACAAAAGTTATTTTAAGCATTTTTTTCATTTCATTATATATCATCTCCCAGAAAACTTTTATTACCACTATATATGATAAAAGGCACCTTCCTTTTCTTTACGTTTCCAGCAGATATTTGAGCTTGTCTTATACAGTACATTTTTTGCTAACTTAGTAGGAGTCAAATACCACCGGTACACATCATTTTCATATAATTTTCTTTCAATGTAAAACATGCCGTAAATTTCAAATCTGATTTCAATAACCTTTCCCAGTCTGCCATCCGAATATTACGTCCCAAATCCTTTGCCCAATGTATCATGTATTACCGACTTGACCTGTTCATCTTTTGTATGCCGCTCTAAAAGTAAACTACATTTTGGATAATAATTTGACATGGTTTTCTAACAAACCTTTTTGAAAACTTGATCCCTTCTCTAAGGCATGGATCCCTTTTCTAAGCACTTCGTTGGCACATGCTCGCAATGGCCATGTTTTCAACATTGCAAAGGAGTCCCTGCAGATTTCTCCCATGAAGAATCGAGTAAGCCTCTCCAGTGACTGAGCTCTGGGCACAGTGGAAACTCTCTCTGTACTCCTTGCCTAGGTTTATGGCTGAGATGCTGCTGTGTTTTTCAATCAATAAACTCTCTGCTTATCTGATTCTTGGGCCTTGTACACATCCTGATTGCAACCTATGACATACCCCACACAGAACTAATAACTTGTTGAAGGTCAACCTTACCCCCAGCAAGAGGAGGTGGACTCGGCAAGGCTGTCCGGGACACAATAAGAAATATGATGGATACTTTCCCCTCCCTTCGGCAGCAGTCATTCGATAATATCTATTTTTTACAAAGTTTTCCACCACCCCCACCCCCCGGAAAAGTGCAGCGAACGATATTGATTTTCTAGTCTAAATTTGTTTAAATGTCAATAGTTTGCTAACCTGTGGCTCTGTGGAAATGCAACTCACCCAAAGCTATTTTTGTCTACCTGTTTTGTCTCCAAATGGCACGTCAAGAAAGGCAAGGGGTTCAAGAGGGAAGTAAACTGAAGAAAACATGTATCTAAAATCAGCCGCTAAGGCCAAGGTTGAAAACCAGTTTCCTCTTCCTCCTCCTCTTGCTTGCTTGATGGCTTAAGTAAGGATCAGAGAACCGCCAGGTAGAAAGCTTTTAAAAATGAGCACTCACACTTTACATTGCGGGTGCCCTTACAGTTCCCAGGGAACTTACTGGCAAACAAGGACTGGCCTGCCTCTCAGTGTTAATTTTTGGAGGTTCACGCCCAGCCTCAGTAGGTGTGATGGCCTGGGACTCGGGCTCAGACTCGGAGCCAGAGGAGTCTCAGTCCGCACCGGATCCTTTGCCTCAGGCGGCATCTGAACCAAGTCTGGGGCCTGATTCTGAAGAGCCCCAGTCTGCACAGGTTCCCCTGCAACAAGCACCAGCTGGGCCGAGTCAGGGGCCTGAGCCTGCCCTGGCTCCAGATGCGGGGATTACCTCTTTGCCCTCAGCTGGGCCATCACTTACAGCTGCTCCACTACCAGTTGGGTCAGGAGAGGCTGAGGCGGCCTCTGGGTCTAGTAACCCACCGACATCTCCCGAGCTGCAGAGACTGAGGTCTGAGAGAAGGAGAGACCTGAGCAGGAGGAGTGCTTGCCTTTGGGCGAGACAGGGAGGTGAGTCACCGGGGGATCAGGACCGGCCATTACCCCAACAGAGATAAAAGGCTGTCGGACCTCACTGCAGGTTGCGGGAACAATGTTGCTGTTTGCCAGAAGCTGCCTGTGATCCTGTGCCTGACCTTGCCTAGTTTCCTGCCTTGGCCCTGTCAGACTGACTCCTCATGGAACCCTTGGATTTGGGACCGGACCTGGACCGCGTTACTATTCCTGGGCCCAGCACAGTAGTCAAGTTTTATTGCTGGGAGGTGGGGCCAGTCGCATATATATATCGGGGTGGAGCCGACAGTATCCAGGCAGTCGGCTTAGGAGATTCACCCTCCCTTAGTTTAATGTTTTCTTGTTTGCAGGTTAACTTTTTCTTCCTGTTTAGTGGGTGCTGCTATGGTCTATGACTGGTTGCTGTAGTGTTGAAGGACCGGGAAGAATTTTTTCCTGCATTGGCAGGTTTTGTCTTCCTGTAGCAATTTGTCAGAACTTTGGCGGTTATGGCCTTGGGTGGAATCCTTTAGTCTTTTCTTCTCTATATGGGGTGTGTGTGTGTGTGAAGTGGTGACTCACCCCTCTGTGGCGGCGATTCCAGGGTCCCCCTCCTAAAGCGGTTATATATATGGGTGTCACTGGCCACACACTGAAAGGTCGTCAGTGAACTACCCTGCATGTGGGGATATGGGCTGGGCTGCCTGCTACACTTATGTCTCGCAGAGCACCCCCATATCCCATTTACCCTGATGAGCCCAGTTCCCCCAGCTGGGGGGCTGGGAGGGATACACGCCCAAGGCCTAAGCCAAGGTCTTCCTACATTTAGAAGTTTAGAAGAAGAGTTTGGATTTGATATCCCGCTTTATCACTACCTGAAGGAGTCTCAAAGCGGCTAACATTCTCCTTTCCCTTCCTCCCCCACAACAAACACTCTGTGAGGTGAGTGGGGCTGAGAGACTTCAGAGAAGTGTGACTGGCCCAAGGTCACCCAGCAGCTGTTTAATAAAGTTGTGGCCTAATTTTAATTCCATGTAATGTTGTCAGAGTCTTTATTCCTTCCTTATGATCCCTGGGGGCTGGGGCTTTTGCCGCCTGGTCATGCAATGGTCTGGAAATTGCAGTTGGTTCAAAACAGAGTCACAGGATATTACCTGAGATGGGCCATTTTGATCACCCTATGCCAGTGCTTTTAGGGACCGCGGGTGGCGCTGTGGGTAAAACCTCAGCGCCTAGGACTTGCCGATCGCATGGTCGGCGGTTCGAATCCCCGCAGCGGGGTGCGCTCCCGTCGTTCGGTCCCAGCGCCTGCCAACCTAGCAGTTCGAAAGCACCTCTGGGTGCAAGTAGATAAATAGGGACCGCTTACTTGCGGGAAGGTAAACGGCGTTCCGTGTGCTGCAGTGGCTCGCCAGATGCAGCTTGTCACACTGGCCACGTGACCCGGAAGTGTCTGAGGACAGCGCTGGCTCCCGGCCTATAGAGTGAGATGAGCGCACAACCCCAGAGTCTGTCAAGACTGGCCCGTACGGGCAGGGGTACCTTTACCTTTATGCCAGTGCTTTAAGAACTTCCAGTTTTGTTTCCAGTCCACTTCTAGTTTGCAGTGCTGGTTTCTAACCTATAAAGCCCAAAATGACTTAGGAACAGGCACCTCCTCTCAACATATGCCTACCTGAAGCCTAATATAATTTTAGGAGGCCTTGCTCCAAGTGCACCTGCCAAATGAAGTGAGACAGGTGGCTACCAAGAAGAGGCCCTTTATGGTTCACCCAGAATTTTAAAAACTGGGTTGTAAATGTGGTCCCCAACCTGCACTACAATTCCCATCATCCATTGGCCATGTTTACTGGGGACGATGGGAATTGGAGTCCAACAACATCTAGAAGGCAGCAGTCTGGGAGAAGACAACAATAAACAATGAAATGTGTCTCAAGGTGCGAACAATCTGGGATTGGGTGCAATGGGAAATTTTGGCATATTGCGGGAACCTATCAAATTCACATGGAAATTGTTGTTGCTTTCATTGTTTGAATGGTCCAAGATGGATATTAAATCCAGGGAACTACCTGCCTTTTAAATCACAGCAGTTTAACTTGCAAAACACTGCAGGACTTAGATACAAAGCATCGGCACAGTTACGTGAGGAAACTAGGCCAATGCTCAAAAATTAACTTTAAAAGGGCAAGAAAAAAGGGAGGCTTAATGCTAGATGCTACAACTTTTATGAATTTTACAAATTGGTCAGCAAGAGAATCTCCTTCTCTAGCTTGTCTCCAACTCTGATTTCTATGAGGCATAAATGTTAACATTCTAGCCAGCCATGCCCTTTGAAGGATACTCCATTCCATCTCCCCCATCTCTTGATTTTCCTTCCCACAACTCTGCAACCATCAGGCAATATTCAGTAGCCGCTGAACATACCCAGTGCCCATTGGGTTGGGTCTTTTTGATGGGAGAGGGGGTCCCCTTTAAGTCGTCCCCCCAAAAATCTTTTTCATACTTCTGTGAGCCTTGACATCCCCCACCCCAACAAATTATCAGCTGATAGCCTGATACCTCCGTCTTGCACATGGGTGTTGCTGCATTAGCTACACAACAACCCATGCTTGCGAAATGTGTTTGCTATTAATATACAGGATAGCAACCGTAGGGGTTGACCAGCAGATGGCAGGAAAACTTCATATTCCTGTTGTCTTGTTGGACGAAGCTAAGCACAGTCTGTCCTGGGATAATGATCAACCATTCACCGAACATAGGATGGCAGGATATACTTTTGTTTAAACTTAGCTCTGCTCCAATTAGTTGCAAAGGAGTGCGTGTCTGCTATGTAGAGCAAAGGGGGAACATGGCTGAGACTTCTGTTACTCACTGCTTCACTCCCTTCAGCCTCCCCTGCCGGATGGTATTCTCCTAGCCAGACTCACTTCTGGTACTCTGGAGAAAAGTCCCATTTGGGTAGAGACTGGGCAGAGGTCAGCACTCGGTTTGTCTGTGTTTCCTTTGTCCAGCCCCCACCCAAATCTTTCTTTGCGGATTGTTTAAACTCATACGTATCTACCTCAATATAGGGATGCAGGTGGCGCTGTGGGTTAAACCGCAGAGCCTAGGACTTGCCGATCAGAAGGTCGGCGGTTCGAATCCCCGCGACGGGGTGAGCTCCCGTTGCTCGGTCCCAGCTCCTGCCAACCTAGCAGTTCGAAAGCACATCAAAGTACAAGTAGATAAATAGGTACCGCTCCGGTGGGAAGGTAAACGGCGTTTCCGTGCACTGCTCTGGTTCTCCAGAAGCAGCTTAGTCATGCTGGCCACATGACCCCGAAGCTGTACGCCGGCTCCCTCAGCCAATAAAGCGAGATGAGCACCTCAACCCCAGAGTCGGTCACGACTGGACCTAATGGTCAGGGGTCACTTTACCTACCTTTATCTACCTCAAGAAACAGGTTCTCTCCAGCTACAGCTGGTTCACTAGCCAGAGCTGTCCTTGAATAATAATAATAATAATAATAATAATAATAATAATAATAATAATAATAATTTATTATTTATACCCCACCCATCTGGCTGGGTTTTCCCCGGCCACTCTGGGTGGCTCCCAACAAAATATTAAAAATACAATAAAACATCAAACATTAAAAACTTCCCTAAACAGGGCTGCCTTCAGATGTCTTCCAAAAGTCAGATAGTTGTTTATTTCCTTGACATCTGATGGGAGGGTGTTCCACAGGGTGGGCACCACTACCGAGAAGGCCCTCTGCCTAGTTTTCTGTAACTTCGCTTCTCGCAGTGAGGGAACCGCCAGAAGGCCCTCAGTGCTCGACCTCAGTGTCTGGGCTGAACAATGGGGGTGGAGATGCTCCTTCAGGTATACTGGGCCAAAAACCTACCGGGAGCCAATGTAGGTCTTTCTGGACTGGTGTTATATGGTCTCAGCGGCCACTCCCAGTCACCAGTCTAGTTGCCACATTCTGGATTAGTAGTAGTTTCCGGGTCACCTTCAAAGGTAGCCCAACGTAGAGCGCATTGCAGTAGTCCAAACGGGAGATAACTAGAGCTCCAGTAAACTCTTGGTTAGACTACTGCAGTGTGCTTTTGAGGGCACCTTGAAGATGTCACCCCAAACGTCAATTAGTGCAGAATACAGCCAACAGAATCACATAACACAAGTTCTGCACAACATGTACTCCCTGCCTGAATGCTAGCAGGCCCAATTTCAGGAGTTTTTTCCAGTCATAACTTGTTGGAACTCAGTTCCAGCAAATCTCAGGTGGGCGACATTGCCATCCCAAGAGAATGAGGGAGGTGTTTATGGGTGAGTTCCGGCACCTTTCCCCCCCCCTAGTAAAATAGCCCTGGCTGGATCTGTACCCTCCAACATTCCTCAGATGAAAATAGAGGCAAAATAGGAAGGAGGCCGGCAGTGGCGATCATGGAGAGACCATGGAGAGGCCATGGGAAAGTGACTGGGCAAAGGCAAAACTGCTGGGACCCATGTCTAGAAAGCATGGGACAAGTAGGACCCATGCTTTATTGGGTCCTCCCTTGAAGTGGGCACGCGTTGCGGTGAGGCCTGGCAACCAAACCCTGTGTTGTGGGTGGGTTCAATTGATTAGCCACAACACACAGTCAGTAGGTCCCTTGATGTAGGGTTTAATCAGGCCAATGGAACGCAAGCTAAACGGATCAAGGGACCTATATATGCCCATGCACGTGACCCAGAGCTTCCTCTTTTGGTTCATGCATTCGGAACACCCACCCACCTCTCCCTACTTTTAGGGCTTTGCTCTTGACCTTGCTATGCCATTGTGTGTCATCTGTTATTGGGGACAGCGGCACGGCAGGAATTTTCCCCACTTGGCTAATTGGCTGTTGCCATTTGAGTTTCACCCTGCTGCGTAGCAAATCATCACAACTTGTAAGGTTGCAGATAGGCTCTGGTTCAGGTGACAGGGATGGGAGAAAGCTCTCGCCATCCCTATGTGAAGGGTATTCCGTTAAAGGAGTCCAGGGACTCGATGGTTTGGTCAACCCCTGAGAGGGGGTTGTGCCCGTGCCTGAGTCCAGGGGAGCATCTGGGGAGTGAACAGAGTCTGTTTCCAGGCTTTTCAGCCTGCCTCAGGTGTTCACCCTTGGCTGACCTATGATAAGAGCCACTGGTCAGCACCCAGTGCAGGGAGCTAGTCGAACCAGAGCCTATGCAACTACTCACTTTCTGTAATCAATAAAGTTGTGGCCTAATTCTGCCAAAAAACCAAACCAAAATTTGAGTCTTGTCTGAAATTTATTTAAGGGGAAGGTTTAAAGGTCTGAAAACGCAACTATGCATGAAGCGAGTGGGAAAAGTGGACCAGCCCTATGTCTGCGCTGCAGATGGGTGGGGAGGAATGCAATGACAGGTTCTGACAGAGTTAGACATGGTCTCGTCTGGAGCTAAAACTCCATCCTTTAGCTTGTTCTTGTAGTTACTCTTATTTTCCTACACAGTTGTGTGTTAACCTGCCCTTCAGTCAAAAAAAGGCCTCCAGTTCTGGGCCTACAAAGCGAGTAATCTGCCGCATATGAAATAAAGACTGAAATACTGATTGTGTTTATAAGAAGATTGTGTTTATATGCCCATGGGGACAGGTGTTCAACTGTGCGATGCCCTGAAAACTATTCGGTGCAGGTAGCTGGCACCCATGCTTCAGTGCACATCATTGGATTGTTTTTTTTAATCCTTTTTTGGAAAATATTTCAGTAAAACAAAATAAAAATAAAAATAAAAAAGAAACAAAAAGTGTGTAAAAGGGAATAATAATAATAATATAAAGGTAAAGGTAAAGGGACCCCTGACCATTAGGTCCAGTCGTGACCGACTCTGGGGTTGCGGCGCTCATCTCGCTTTATTAGCCAAGGGAGCCGGCGTACAGCTTCTGGGTCATGTGGCCAGCATGACTAAGCCGCTTCTGGCGAACCAGAGCAGCGCACAGAAACACCATTTACCTTCCCACCTATTTATCTACTTGCACTTTGACATGCTTTCGAACTGATAGGTTGGCAGGATCAGGGACCGAGCAACAGGAGCTCACCCCGTCACAGGGATTCGAACCGCATCCTTCTGTAAAATCAGCAAGTCCCTAGGATCTGTGGTTTACTAACAGCGCCACATGTACCAATAATAATATACCTTCCCAATATAATTCTATACATCGCTTACTAATCAATATTTAAATGAAATGATTGCTCTTAATACATATACAATTATTTATACCTTCTATATTTTTTTTAATCCAATGTTTTTCCAAATATCATAAATATTTGTCCATATACAGTCAATGTCTATATAAGCTATCCATCTGTATGCTTTGCAAGAGTTTTGTCTAATCTTCTATCCATGCTTAAAGAAGACCCATAGATTTATTTTCAGTGGATCAATATTCCATTTCTTTTATCTGTAGTGAGGGCATAAGAATCCATTTACATCGACCAGTTTGGTCCAAATTCCATGTAGTAGGTATATAATTTAAAATAATACGATCTTGACAATGCATTATTCTTCAATATTATGATAAAAATACTTGACGTTCCAGTGGTATATGATGCCGAATGGGTGCACATGGATCTCTTTAGCCAGATCCGGTGGATGGAGAGGAAAGCGATAGGCGTCTGGTGTTGGCAGGGAAGACAGCTCCACCAAGTGAACTCATGAAACACATTCATTAAAATCCAAGGGTTGGAAGAGATCCGGCAGATTTTATAAACATCAACAACTCTAACCACATTCTGATCACAAACAGTTTCTTCAGGTTGTTACAACAAACCGGAAAAACAGATATCATAGAACCACACCACATCTTGGTGGTTAAAAATGGCACGTGGGCCTTGATTATACAGTTCGAGGCAAAGTAAGGCCGAGATTATCATCTTGTACAAAAGGGCAACATGCATGAGGGCAGGGCCCATCTTTTCGTTATGAAAGGGCCCATTTGATCTAGGAAGTGGTCTGGGCTTGGCTGCTTTCAGATGGGTTTGGAAATGTCCTCGTTATGTAAGCCTGAAATAAGATCGGATGACACAGCCCAAGAATGCAGTCGCTTTCAGAGATTTATCGCAAGCATCCAGGCCTTACGAAGAAGGGTATACTGGAACACCAAATGCATAACTAAAGCAACAACATTGCAGCAGCATAATTGTCTGGAAATGTTGGGGTGTATCCAGCTAAGTTTTGCACAGAGCTGTCCCATTGAAATCAATGGACATGTCCATTAATTTCAATGGGTCCACCCTGAATTGGGTTAAGCACTGGAGACAACCCCCCCTTTTTTTTTGCAGCAACGACATACCCTCCAACATTTCTGCGATGAAAATAGGGACGTCCCACTCCATAATGATCATTTTGCTATTTATACCCCACACATCTTACTGGGTTGCCCTAGCCACTCTGGGCAGCTTCCAACATATATAAAAGCATAAAACATTAAAATAAAATACTTCCCTATACAGGATTGCCTTCAGACGGCTCAGGGGCCACATAACTCCATACCATCCAACATTTCTC